ATAACACTTCAACACAGGGCTTGGAGTCTTATCTATCAATCAGTCAATCAATCAATCTATCTATCTATCTATCTATCTATCTATCTATCTATTTAAATTTTAAAAATTGAGGTAACATTGGTTAATAACATTATGTAAATTTCAGGCGTACAACCTTACAATTCTATATCTATATACATATACAGATATAGTGCGCTTACCACCGACAATTCTATATCTATATACATATACAGATATAGTGTGCTTACCACCGAAAGTCTAGTTTTCATCTGTCACCATACATTTGACCCTCTTTACCCATTTCTCCCTTCTCGTCACTCCTCATCCTCTCTGGTAACCACCAATTTGTTGCCTATGTCTATGAATTTGTTTTTTTGTTTGTTTTAAATTCCACATCAGTGAAAACATACAGTTTTTGTCCTTTTTTGTCTGATTTATTTCACTTAGCATAATATCCTCAAGGTCCATTTATACTATTGGAAATGGCAATATTTAATTTTTTTATGGCTGAGTAGTATTCTAATGTATACACACATTAGTAGTATACACATACATATACACATACATATATATGTGTGTATACACACACACATACACACATACTGCATCTTTTTTAATCATTCATTCGTTGTTGGACACTTAAGTTGTTTCCATATCTTGGCTATTGTAAATAATGCTGCAGTAAACATAGAGTTGCATACATCTTTTTTAATTAATATTTTCATATTCTTGGAATAAATACCCATATGCTAAATCATATGGTAGTTCTAGTCTTAATTTTTTGAAGAACCTCCATACTGTTTTCCATAGTGGCTGCACCAATTAAAAGTCTCATCAACAGTGTACAAGTGTTTTGGGAATCATTTTAAACAGTGAAATAACCAACAAAAAGCACAAAGTTGTGAAAAATATGACACTAAACAGACTACAGAAAGGACACTTTGTAGTGTGAGAGCTGAAACAAGAAGGCAGAGCTTCACCTTGTTGGACCTCAGCGTGGAATGTGTGAGTTGAACGACTCAAATTTTTCATCCTCTGCACATGCTCATGTCCACAAAGTGCCCCTAAAATTGATTTTGGTGTGACAAATAAATTTAGCAAATTCTCAAATATGGAATCTGCGAATAATGACGATTGACTATAATTGTAGTTAATCTGCTGAATTCTGGGGCCTCAAAGATGAGTACAACTTAGTTCTTATGTTTAAATAGATCAAAAATCAATTGCAAGGTGATAATCACTGTAATTGAGCTATAAGCAAGATGTTGTCAGAGTTTTAAAGGAAAAGAATTAACTCCTAATACTGTGAAATAGTGAGAGGACTAATCTACATTGAAGTCATCAGCTGTGTGACTATATCTAAATCCTTTAAAAATTTAGGACACGGTCTACTTATTGGAGAAATGAAGGTGTAACGAGTGTGAGGAAACAGCTAACATTGTACTTGGAAAATAGTAGGTCCTCAGGTGCTTAAGGTTAGAGCAGGAAGGGGTACTTTACAGAGGAGGTAACATTTGAGTTGTATCTTGAATCATGAGGAAGGAGTCCATGGGTGCACTGCTGGCCAGGGGGTGCAATGGACTTCTAAGTTCTTTGTGGTTTTGTACTTTACATGCCTCCATATAGTCAAGCATGGTGCTAGAACATAATAGTTACTCAATAAATGTTGACAGATTGGTTGGTTGAGTGAGTGAACAGCGAGGATCCACTTTTGAAGTCTTTGGTATCTGCTTCTTTGTTAAGCCACCTACTTTCACAACCAAACATATTTTTGGCACATTATATACCAATTTTTGGAGATTTAGTCTGTAATAATTGAACAAGAAAGGTACATTCTTCAGCTAGGAGTTGTATACTTCCAAATTAATTTTGAATAAGAACATAACTGGAAAATGATAGGGAGGAAAAAAAGTAAGAAAATTTGTGTTCGTGCATGTGTGTGTGATAGTGTGTGTACGTGTGTATTTGTGGATGAATATGGGAGAAAGAGACAGAGATAGACAGATAGACAGAAAAAGACAGACAGACACAGAGAGAGAGAGACAGAAAGGAGAGAGATAGAAAGGTGAGATGCAACAAATAAGGATAAATCTTAGCAATGTAATTTTAAATGAAATAATAATTACACAAAGAATATATGCAAACATGCAGTCTGAAGAAACTGGGCAGCACTGTAACCAAGGGATCAAAGCTAAAGTCACCAAAAAGGGCCAGTGGATGTGATTTACTGAGAAGGACACAGCACATAGGATCAATTCTGTGGTATTCTTGCCAAAAACGCACAACCTGAACGCAATCACAAGGAAACATCAGAACCCAAATTGAGGAACATTAATAAAATATCACATGAATATTAAGGTCTTAAAGTGAAAAATAAGGCCAAGGTGACATTTCAGATTACAGAAGACTAAAGAGACACAACGACTAAATGCAATATGTGATTCTGGACCAGATTCTGTACCCCTAAAAGTTGCTATAAATGATATTACTGGGACAATTGACAAAACTTAAAAATGGAGTATTGATAAGATATAAGCATATAAGTATGGTATTAATGTTAAACTTCCTTGTTTGTGGTCATAGAAGAATTTTTTTATTCCTAGGAAATGCATACTGCTGTATTAAGGGGTAAAGAGGCAAATATGTGCAACCTATTTTCAGATGATTTGGAAAATAATAACTCTATGTAAATGAATATATAATATTCATAAAATATATATGAGTAAGGCTATATGAGAATTCTATCATCCTTGAAACATTTCTGAAAGTTTGAACTTATTTCAAGATAAAAAGTAAAAAAAATCTATAAAAATAAAGCTAAAACAAAATAAAAGCACTAATCTTTATATAAACTTAAAAAAGAAGAGTAAAATTTACATTGCAGCTGAATGTAAATACAGTTAATCTGTATGAAAATAAAGGAAGGAATCATGCTCAGGACCCTGGGTTGGGGACCTGAGGGATGTGGTGGTGGGATACCAAATAGTTTGCTGTGTGATGTTGTTTTGATTTGCCTTTCTGTTTTAGTAATAGTCAGATTTGTTGGTACTTATCATATTACTAAAAACAAGTAGTTAGAAAAAAACATGAACCAAATAAAAGAGGGCCATGCATGGAAACTGCTGAGAATGTCATGAAACATACAATATGATCAATCTGTTTATTTTCCTCTGAGGTCAGTCTAAAAAAATAGACGGGAGTGGGAGAAAGAGGGATGAAGGCAGAAAGAGAAATTGAGAAATCAAGGAGCAGGGAAAGAAAAGGACATCAGATCTTTTGAAAGAAAAGAAAAAAATAAACCAACTCTGGAGAAAATAAACTGAAGAAACGAGTGAGGAGAAGAGAAGAATAGATTGGAAGAAGCTGAAAGAATGAGGAATGCTGAGGCAGAAGAAAAGCCTAAATGGTATTTTGGAGCCACAAGAGGGACACTTTGTCTCCAAAGAAGAGTGTCAGCCAAAGGGCTGGATTCCAGGAAGGGGTGATGTGGTCAAATAACACACCAAGGTTAGGTCTAATGGAAGGCTGACACTCAGCCAGCTGGGCTTTTCCAAAAACCCAGAGTATTGTGGTCACTTCTGGCTTCTTCAATACTCCAGGCTATTAATTAGAAGGAACCACTAGATTAACCCGTGGCCATAATCACCTATGATGAGGGCTTATGCCCAGATACTTGTTGTGGGTAATTGAGGATACTTCTCTGGGAGCTGCCGTCTTGTTTCAGCCCTTCTGGTACTCAGTGTGGGAAAAGTGTATGCTGGGAACACTTAGGGGAAATTGAGCTTATGCATAATGCAGATGCATTTATCCGGGATACTTGTCACTTCTAATAATTGTTCTGCAGCCTCTGAGTGCTCAGTGATGACTGACCAATGAATGACTGGCCTTCTCACCATTAAAATTACTGGAACAATTTATAAAGCACTCAATCAACACAACAGCAACAACAACAAAAACAATCTAATTAAAAAATAGGCAGAAGACCTGAATAGATATTTCTCCAAAGAAGAAAAACAGACGGCTAATAGACATATGAGAAGATGCTCAAGATCACTAATCATCACAGGAATTCAAATTAAAACCACAGTGAGATTTCACCTCACACTCGTCAGAATGGCTATCATCAAAAAAGTCAAAAAACAAATATTGGTGAAGGTGTGGAGAAAGGGGAAGCCCTGTGCACTGTTGGTGGGATTGCAAATTGGTACAGCCACTGTGGAAAATAGTCTCGAGGTTCCTCAAGAAATTAAAAATGGAACTACCTTTTGACCCAGTAATTGCACTTCTGGGTATTTATCCAAAGGAAACTAAAACACTAATTTGTAAAGACATATGCACCCCTATGTTCATGGCAGCACTATTTGTAATGGCCAAGATATGGAAGCAAACTTAATGTTCATCAAAAGACAAATGCATAAAATAAGAACAATTCAAAAAGTGAGAACTATTCAAATGTTCATCAGCAGATGAATGGATAAACAAAATGTGGTATATATATAAAATGGAATATTATTCAGCCACAAAAAATAAAATCCTACCATTTGCAACAACATGGATGGACCTGGAGGTTATTATGCTGAGTGAAATTAGACAGAGAAAGATAAATACCATATGATTTCACTTATATGTGGAATCTAAGGAACAAAAATAACAGACTAAATGAAAACAGACTCACAGATGCAGAGGACAATTTGGCGATTGCTAGAGGGGAGGGGGATTGGGGAGCTGGGAGAAAAAAAGTGAAGAGTTGAAGAAGTACAAATTAGTTAAAAAATAGTTAAGTACAGCATAGAGAATATAGTCAGTAGTATTGGAATGGCTGTGTGTAGAGCCAGATGGGTAATAGAGTAATTGGGAGAATCATTTCATAAACTGTATAAATGTCTAACCAATGTAAGATATATGTGAAACTAATAAAAATAAGTAAATAAGATCATTAACTTGCTTTGAAAATATTCAAGCCATCTCAAAGATTCAGTCGTTCCTCTGTTTTTCTCTAGATCTTTGGAAACAAAAACCAACCAAACAAAATGCCTCTGCTGGAGTGGGGAAGGGATTCCCGTTTGCTAGGAGATTCAGCCTGCCTTCTGTGATCTGGTTCCTGCATCTCTAGGCTTTTCTGTGTCTGCATTTCACCTTGGATGCCTTCCTGTCATATTGAGCTGATTGCAGAGCCCTGAACAAATGATACTTTCCTCTTATCTTTTCCATTTAGAATGTCTTGTTTTCCTATTTCCCTCAACCTGGAGAATGAATACTCTTTTTTTAAAAAGTTAAATAAACACTGTTTTAATGGTATTTCTTCCATAAAAACTTTCCTGATATCCTATGTCCTCATCCCATCGCACACATACAGGGTCTCTCATCCCTTGGGAATCTCTCTTATGTTCCTTAGGTGTCTTCCAGAGCATGAGAGCACTTAACTGCATTGATTTGGTCATGTCTTTCTTTTATTTCTGTCTTTTGAGGGCAGAGAATTAAAATCAGTGCTCAATGAATAAATAATAAGCACATCACAGGCCATGTAAGTCCTTTACACACTTTACCTCACTTAAGCCTCACATAACCCTAGAAGGTGGTTATTATTATTAATCCTGTCCTTAGAGATGAGCAAACCAAGGCTCACAGAGGTTAAGTCATTTGTTCAAGATCATATTAAGTTGTAGAAGTTGAATTTAAACCTAGAAAGTCTGACTCCAGAGCCCTCTCCTTTAACTGCACAATGCTGCCTCCTGAACAATCACAAATCACAGGTCACCAAGGTACAGAGCATTTCTACCCACCATGGATGTGATTATATCTAAGCTCCTTGTACTTACACTGAAATGTTTAATAGTGATGGATGAAATGTGAGACATGGATTTTGCTTCAAAAAGTTTGGACTTGAGAAACACTAATGTTTGGAGCAATTCGTGAACAATACAAAGTAATAATCACTCATCTATCTACCTCTCTTTCTCTCCCACCTCTCTCCCCATATGTGTGTGTGTGTGTGTGTGTGTGTGTGTGTGTGTGTGTGTGTATTTTTTTGGCAGCTCTACATATGGGCATCTTGCTATGGATTGTGAGGGCTGAAAATAAAAATGAATACAACTATACCATCTCAATTTTCCAGGATGGATTGGATTTTTTTAAAATGATAGCTTTATTGAAATGTAATTCATATACCATAAAATTCATTCCATTAAAATCTGCAGTCAGTGGTTTTAAGCACATTTACAGTTCTAGTTTTAGAACATTTTTCATCACCCCAAAGAAAATCCTACACCTATTAGTGGTCATTTTGTTTCTGACTGATGACTGTCTGAACCCAGATAAGCACTAATTTGTTTTCTGCCTCTGTAGATTTCTCTATTTGCAAAATAGATTTTATTTCTATGAAATCTCTTCAATTTGCAGAAATTGACAAGCTGATGATCCTAAGACTCCCATGGAAATGCAAGGGATCCAAAACAGTCAAAATAATCTTAAAAGAGAACAAAGTTGGAACTTTGTCAATTCTGCAAATAGAATAGATTTCACAGAAACAAAATCATATAATATGTGATCTATCATGTCTGTCTTCTTTCCCTTTACATATTATGTCAAGGTTTATTTATGTTGTGCATATATCAATCTTTCATCCTTTTTTTATGGCCAATAAATATTCCATTGCATGAATATAACCACATTTTGTTGATTGATTTATCTATTATTGGACATTTGGATTATTTATACTTTTTTTTTGCTTTTATGAATAATGCTGCTATAAACATTTGTGTACAAGTTTTTGTGTGGACAAATGTTTTGATTTTTCTTAAGTATGTACCTTGGAGTGGAATTGCCGGGTCATAGGGCAGTTCTATGTTTAGCTTTTTGAGGAACAGCCAAACTTTTTTCAAAGTGGCTGCACTATATTACTTACCCACCAGCAATGTATGATAGTTCCAATTTCTCTACATCATTGCCAACACTTGTTACTTTCTATCTGTTTTATTATAGTCATCCTAATGGATGTAAAGTGGTATCTCTTTGTGGTTTCAATTTGGTTTTCCCTGATGCCTAATGAGGTTAGCACCTTTTCATGTGCTTAGTTGACCATCTGTATGTCTTCTTTGGGCGATGTTTATTCAAGTGCTCTGCCCACTTAAAAATTGGGTCGTTTGTCTTTTTACTGTTGAGTTGTAGGTGTTTTATTTATTCTGCATACTAAATTTTTATCCAATATGTGATTTAAAAATATTTGCTCTCGTTCTTTAGGTTGTCTTTTTACTTTTAATGTCCTTGATGCACAAAAGTTTTAATTTTTATGAAGTCCAATTTTTCTATTTTTCTTTTTGTTGCTCATGTTTTTGGTGTGATTCTAAGAATCTGTTGACAAATTCGAGGTCATGAAGTTACCCCTAGGTTTTCTTCTCAGTTTTATGGTTTTAGCTCTTTAGGTCACTGATCCATTTTTAGTTGATTTTTGTGTGTTGTGTGTGTTAGGGGGTCCAACTTTGTTCTTTTGCACATAGATATTCAGTTGTCCAGGGTCACTTATGGAAGAGACTATTCTTGCCCAATGAATAATCTTGGCACCCTGTTGAAAATCAATTGGCTTTAGATATATGGGTTTATTTCTGATATATAAACCATATGTATGGGTTTATTTATGTCATTGATCTATATATTTAACTTTATGCCAATACCACATTGTTTTGATTACTATAGCTTTGTAGTAAGGTTTGAAATTTGGAACTGTGAGTTCCCCAACTTTATTCTTTTTCAAGATTATTTTGGTTGTTTCTGGTCTCTTCTATTTTTAATGAGTCTTAGGTTTATCAGCTTGTCAGTTTCTGCAAAATAAAGTAGCTGGGGTTATGAAAAAGATGATGTAAAATATGTAGATCAATTTAGGGAGTATTACCATCTTGACAATATTAAGTTTTCCATTCCATAAATATCGGATGCATTTCAATTAATTTAGGTCCTCTTTAAGTTTTTAAATTATGTTTTGTAGTTTTCAGTGTATAATTCTTATACTTTTATTAAATTTATTGCTAAGTATTTAATTTTTTGGTGCTGTTATAAATTCAATTGTTTTTTTAAATTTCGTTTTTATATCCATTGATAGTGTATAGAACTACAATTGATTTTTGTGTATTGATCATCATGAAATCTTTGTCTTAAAGTCTATGTTATCTGATATTAATATAAGACTCCAGCTCTCTTTTGGTTACTGTTTGCATGGTATATATGTTTCTATCTTTCTACTTTTAATCTATTTGTGTCTTTAAATCTAAAGTGTATGTCTTGGAGACACCATAGAATTGGATCATTTTGAAATTCTATTCTGCCAATATCTGCCTTTTGATTGGAATGATTAGTCCATTTAAGTTTAACATAATTACTGATAAATAAGGTAGAATTTGTGCCTGTCATTTTGTTATTTGTTTTCTATATGTCTTATGTCATTTTTGTTCCTATATTTCTCTATTACTGCTTTCTTTTGTGTTAGATATATTCTAATTTACCATTTAAATTCTCTTACTATTGTTTATTTTACTATATTTTTTTTAGTTATTTTCTTAGAAGTTTCTCTGGGGATTACAATGAACATCTTTACATAAAACAATCTACTTTGGATTAATAAGCAATTTAATTTCTATAACACATAAATCTTTGCTGATGGATTGTATTTAATGTAATTATTCTTTTCAAGAAAGGCGAGTTAATATGATTTATTTTTACACCTTTTTAAGACTTCTTATATAATTCTATGTCAAGCCATGTGTTTCTTGTTTCAAAGAACTTTTAGTTTAGTTGAGAAAACACAGACATATGTGAAAAGTCAGATGCCAATGAAATCTTTAAATACTAATAAGACAATAATAGATGTGAGTAACATCTAATTTGTTTGCATATAGTTATATGGTAACATATGTCTAGATAGGAAATGTGTAGTGGCTTAATGACAAATATTTCAGAAAATCTGAGTTAGTATGAGACCCATGGCCCCAGCGTGTCGAGGAAGACTTTGTGAAGTTGAAATTCAACCTAGTATGTGTAGACATGTACAAACTCATTGAGGTGGAAGGAGAATGGATGGGAACTCACTAAGCTGACTCTGTCTTTTCAGTGAATGGATGGCCTCAGCACCTAGAACATTGCTTGACATATTGTAGGTGCTTAGTAAATATTTACCAAGTGACTAAATGAGTGGATTTGGTTGAATAAATAAGTTAAGGGTGGAATTGGGACCTCAGAAGAGAGAATTCTGAAATACCAAATAAGGATCATTTGCTGAGTAATCAATCAATGAGGAAGAGATAGCCATTAAGTCATCGGAGTAAAAATTGGCACCTGTAGGGGGAGTTCACCTGCTGCTATAGGCCAGTGCCATTATTTCTATTAGTTTTCAAGAACTAGAGAACACTAGATGATTTTCAGTTTTACTTAAAAAAATCTATAGAGCTATATTCTTTTCTGAAAGTAGAGAGAAAATGGAGGTACACTATATACATTTTTCCATTTTGGTGATAGAAGAATGGGGTGGTAAAGGTCGTGCAAGTGTTGAAAAGAAAGATAATAGGAAATGCATGGAAACATTGCTTCAAAACATCTAAAATGGCTTTGCTGTTCTTTTCCTATCTTAAATTCCCTTTTTAGTTTTTAACTTTCCAGGGTAGTCAGCATCAGAAAATTTCAATAGTTCTAGAAAATATCAGTAAAAATAAATGAGTAGAATTTATTTGTAAGAGTTTAAACATGCTTATGTTAACTCTTTCATATGATATTTGGTAAAGGTTCTGTAAATCTTTGGTTAAAGTTTACTTTAAGAAACTTGCACTGTCCTATTTCTTGGTCATTGGAGAAAGGAATCTAGCTAAAGGCTGAGAGTTCGATTTTAAATTCATCTTTAACTGCAGTTGCAAAGCCAGTAGAGGGAGCAGTGTCCCTATGCTTTGATCTTCAGGATTGAAAATAAATACATAGAATGGATGCTGCTTAGTCTAGATAGCCAAGATTTCATTTTATCTAGAGAGAAAGGATTCTGGGACTGTGATTTGGTTTAAACAATCACGATTTTATGTTAAAGAATTAGCAGAGTTATAGAATTGTTTTATCTCCATTGGGGAATGTTGAAGAGGGTGCTGCGTAAAGACCGTTATTTTGTTTTGCTTCCCTGAAGAAAAATCACTTGCAGATTTTGTACCAAGTC